ATGACGGCCAGACACGTCCTCCCTGGGATTACCCAAGATCTCCCAGACCGCCAGCCGCCTGGGCCTCCGCCGCCGCCGCCGCCGCCGGAGGGACGAAGAGCAGCGGCAGAGAGTAGAGAAGGCTTGTTCCACGAGCCTGGAGCGAGGGGAGGAAGGGGAGGGGAGCGGGGAGGGGGTAGGGGGGGCGAGGGGGAAGAGGGGGAGAAATCTATGGCTCAAGGAGGGAGGGATCAGAATGAAGGAAAGAGTGCGGCAGGGGGAAGCGGGAGGAAAGGGGGAGACGGGAGAGGGGGAAATGTACAGATAGCGAGTGGTGACAGAAAATAAACTATATCTATGCGAATAATTGAAAAGAGAGAAGGCAAAACATCACAAGAAACGCTAAACCTCTAAATAGCCACTAAGACAGCAATAACACAACAAGAACCACTGCAACCCTCAACCTGACTTCTACCTCGATAGGCGTTCACCACCTCGCCAGGGCCTGTCAGGACAGCGGAGCGAAGGCACATCGGAACGCCCAGCTCCTCCCGGCGGGCGTGTGGGCGCTTATTTACTTACTCCCTCAAGCCTGGCGTGTTGAAAGCTCCCCGACGCACTCACCTGAAGATAGAAAAAAAGGAAATATTCGTTTAAAAAAGTAAAAATTGAATGTGTATAGATGAACGAGGTATGTTAGCATAGATATAACATGATGCATGAATATGAATTGAAAATCCCACACTTAAAAGCTGGTAAAATCTGTAGACAACAAAAAATTAACAGTCCGACCCATTCAAGCATTCTTAACAATCTTGCCAGACCTTGCAAACTAAACTAAAACCTCAAACAATCATGACACAAATACGACCTATCTCTCCCCCAATGCGCTTACCCGCCGCCCTCTGCAGGTTCTCGTCCTCAAGTAAGCGTTCCCTACGACCTCCTCCTCACGCGTCTTTGCGCCCTGGAAATTCCTCAAGCCTCTTTGGACTTTTACTTTGCATGTTGGCCTTCGTTACACATTTCTTCTCACTCATATTTCTCCGTTATCACAACTCCCTCACCTTCTCTACATAACTTCCACTCTTCTTCCACATCCTTTCCTACCTCTGTCTCCCCCTCCCCAGTCATCCTCCCCCGCTTTCCCTCCTTCTTCCCTCTTGCCAGCGCCCTCCTCCTCTTCTACTGCTGCTCCTGCGCCTCTTCCTCCTCTCTTCCTTCCCACCCCAGCGGTGCTTCCATCGGCACATATTCCAATCACGTCTTCTTTTCCCTTCCTGTCGTTCTCCGCGAATCCCGAGAGAATAACGACCATCGGCTGCTAAAACGTGCGTGCGTGCGAGGGTGCCTTCGTGCTCCCCGGTAGCAACAGATGAAAGAGGACCAAAGAGGAGCAACAGAAGACGAAGAACGAAAAGAAAATGGCATACAAGGAAAAGGAAGCAAGAAAGGAAGGGAGGAGGGAGACGGAAGCAGAAAAGGAAGGGAGGAGGGAGGAGGGAGAAGGAAGCAGGAAAGGAAGGGAGGAGAGAGAAGGAAGCAGGAAAGGAAGGGAGGAGGGAGAAGGAAGCAGGAAAGGAAGGGAGGAGAGAGAAGGGAGCAAGAAAGGAAGGGAGGATGGAGGAAGAAAGGAGCAAGAAAGGAGCAAAAAAGGGAGGGAGGAGGGAGAAGGAAGCAAGCAAGGAAGGGAGGAGGGAGACGGAAGTAACAGAAGAAGGGAGGAGGGAGAGAGAAGGGAGCAAGAAAGGAGGAGGAGGGAAAAGGAAGTAATGGATGGGAGGAAGCAGAAGGAAGTAAGAAAGGAAGGGAGCAGGGAGGAGGAAGCAAGAAAGGAAGGGAGCAGGGAGAAGGAAGCAAGAAAGGAAGGGAGGAGGAGGGAGACCATCGGTGCCAAACTGAGGAACAAGATCGATTTCTCCAAGACTCTGTTGCCTCGCTCACAAAACAAGTCCATTACCACCACCACACGCCACCATCTGCGATCACTGGCGCTCTGTGAACCAACCCACCCTCTCACTCACTCACTCACTCACTCACACACTCACTCACACACTCACTCACACACTCACTCACACACTCACTCACACACTCACTCACACACTCACTCACACACTCACTCACACTCACTCACACACTCACTCATACACTCACTCACACACTCACTCATACACTCACTCATACACTCACTCACACACACACACACACTCACTCACTCACTCTTTCTTACATATACATAAACCATAATATAAACAAACGAAAGGTGGGTAGCATCCGGCGAAGGGCCTAGGCTACAGACTGCTCTCGGAAGCAAAGTTCGACCAAGCCGACGACGTCCCTACAATGCCCTCTCCAACCACACCCAAAGTTCCTCTAAAATCGTTCAGCATAGCCTCTTTTCCTTCCTTCCTCCTCTCTCCCCTTCCTCCTCCCCTCCATCTGTTCTTTCGCGTTTCCCGGTTCGCTGCGCCCCCCCCCCCCACGCACAACAATGGCAACAAGAACAGTCACAGGGTAACAATGGCAGTCCATTACCAGGGGAGGGAGTTCGGGGGGCGAGGGGACGGGCCGTACAGACAGGTTGGTGGCACTCCTGGGGATCTTCCATTACGCCCCCACTTCCCTCCCTCCACTTCAACCCCCTGCACCCCCCCCCACTTCTCGCCAATGACTAGACCTTAACAACAGCTTTTCAAATCGACTTAGCACCTTCCGTCTTCGTCACACCGCGATAACTCGCACAGACTCTCGCTCCTCTTCCTTTCACCTTGTTGGCGCTGCAATCACACAGCGCCACTTCTTCAGCTCCTCTTTCCGCCGACAGGAGGAAAGTCCCCCTTCGCCAAACACCACACACGACACGCAGATCCATACCACTTGACACCGCGCCACACCTGATTCATATCACTTGACACCGCGCCACACCTGATTCATACCACTTGACACTGCGCCACACCTGATTCATACCACTTGACACTGTGCCACACCTGATTCATACCACTTGACACCGCGCCACACCTGATCCATACCACTTGACACCGCGCCACACTAAATCCCCACAACAGATGCGTATTTAGACTGTCCCCACCATTCTCCCTCCCATTCTTCCTCTCCTTCGTCCAGGCCGGTGGAAGGGAAAGGATGGAGGTGGAGGGAGGTGATGGTGAGGAGGAGAGGAGAGAAGAAAGAGAGAGAAAACACTCGAACCATTCCATTGCTGGGCTCAAGACACTGTGCCCGACTTTCCTTATGCGCAAATGCAAGGACTGATTAGCCCCAGAATCCATTACTGATTAAGGCTAAATGGATCAATAAATAGCAAAACCGCTGTAGCATTATAAAACTAATCACCAATAAACAAAATACTGCCGCCGCCGACAACTTCAGAGGCAACACCAAATCAACCCAGAAACTACAGTAGCGAGAATACGATAAATCAATGACATATCAACATGTGCATTATCATGTTCCACTCATTAACACGAGCGGTAGAGGAAGGCTGGCAGGCAGGTGAGCCGGGAGGTGAGACGGAGGACCGGGTGCCAGCTCGCCGACAAAGTGCCACACCCTTTTAGGCCCTCTGGCCCTGTCACCTCTTGCTTGGCTAGGCGCTCCCTCACTTCCTCCAACAAATATTCATTCCCCCCATTCTCTGTCGCTTATTCCCTCTCCCTCACTCTCTCTCTGTCGCTTATTCCCTCTCCCTCACTCTCTCTGTCGCTTATTCCCTCTCCCTCACTCTCTCTGTCGCTTATTCCCTCTCCCTCACTCTCTCTCTCTCTCGCTTATTCCCTCTCCCTCACTCTCTCTCTCTCTCGCTTATTCCCTCTCCCTCACTCTCTCTCTCTCGCTTATTTCCCTCTCCCTCACTCTCTCTCTCTCGCTTATTCCCTCTCCCTCACTCTCTCTCTCTCGCTTATTCCCTCTCCCTCACTCTCTCTCTCTCGCTTATTCCCTCTCCCTCACTCTCTCTCTCGTCGCTTATTCCCTCTCCCTCACTCTCTCTCTGTCGCTTATTCCCTCTCCCTCACTCTCTCTCTGTCGCTTATTCCCTCTCCCTCACTCTCTCTCTCGCTTATTCCCTCTCCCTCACTCTCTCTCTCTCGCTTATTCCCTCTCCTCACTCTCTCTCTCTCGCTTATTCCCTCTCCCTCACTCTCTCTCTCTCGCTTATTCCCTCACTCTCTCTCTCTCGCTTATTCCCTCTCCCTCACTCTCTCTCTGTCGCTTATTCCCTCTCCCTCATTCTCTCTCTCTCGCTTATTCCCTCTCCCTCACTCTCTCTCTCGCTTATTCCCTCTCCCTCACTCTCTCTCTGTCGCTTATTCCCTCTCCCTCACTCTCTCTCTCTCGCTTATTCCCTCTCCCTCACTCTCTCTCTCTCATGGCCCCTCTCCCTCACTCTCTCTCTCTCTCTCATGGCCCCTCTCCCTCACTCTCTCTCTCTCTCTCATGGCCCCTCTCCCTCACTCTCTCTCTCTCTCTCATGGCCCCTCTCCCTCACTCTCTCTCTCTCTCTCATGGCCCCTCTCCCTCACTCTCTCTCTCTCTCTCTCATGGCCCCTCTCCCTCACTCTCTCTCTCTCTCTCATGGCCCCTCTCCCTCACTCTCTCTCTCTCTCTCATGGCCCCTCTCCCTCACTCTCTCTCTCTTCTCATGCCCTCTCCCTCACTCTCTTCTCTCTCTCTCATGCCCCTCTCCCTCACTCCTCTCTCTCTCTCTCTCATGCCCCTCTCCCTCACTCTCTCTCTCTCCTCTCATGGCCCCTTCTCCCTCACTCTCTCTCTCTCCTCTCTCTCATGGCCCCCTCCCTCACTCTCTCCTCTCTCTCTCTCATGGCCCCTCTCCCTCACTCTCTCTCTCTCTCTCTCATGGCCCCTCTCCCTCACTCTCTCTCCTCTCTCTCATGGCCCCTCTCCCTCACTCTCTTCTCTCTCTCTCATGTCCCCTCTCCCTCACTCTCTCTCTCTCATTCCTTCTCCTCACTCTCCTCTCATTCCTTCTCCTCACTCTCTCTTCTCTCTCTCTCTCTCATTCCTTCTCCCTCACTCTCTCTCTCTCTCATTCCCTCCACCTCACTCACTCACTCACTCACTCACTCTCTCCTCTCTCTCCTCTCATTCCCTCCACCTCACTCACTCACTCACTCACTCTCTCTCTCTCTCTCTCTTTCCTTCCACCTCACTCTCTCTCTCTCTCATGCCCCTCTCCCTCACTCTCTCTCTCTCTTTCCCTCCACCTCACTCTCTCTCAAATCTCTTTCCTCCCCCTCACTCTCTCTCTCTCTCTTTCCCTCCACCTCACTCTCTCTCTCTCGCTTATTCCCTCTCCCTCACTCTCTCTCTCTCTTTCCCTCCACCTCACTCTCTCTCTCTCTTTCCCTCCACCTCACTCTCTCTCTCTCTTTCCCTCCACCTCACTCTCTCTCTCTCTTTCCCTCCACCTCACTCTCTCGCTCTCTTTCCCTCCACCTCACTCTCTCTCTTCTCTTTCTCGCCACCTGCACTCTCTCTCTCTCTTTCCCTCCACCTCACTCTCTCTCTCTCATTCCCGCCACCTCATCTCTCTCTCTTCATTCCCTCCATCTCACCTCTCTCTCTCTCGTTCCTCCACCTCACACTCTCTCTCTCTCCGCCACCTACACTCTCTCCCTCTCTCAGTCCCGCACTCTCTACTCTCTCTCTCTCATTCCCTCCACCTCAAACTCCTCACTCTCTCTCTCATTCCCTCCCTCACCTCATCACTCTCGTCTCATCTCTCATTCCTCCACCTCACTCACTCCTCACTCACTCTCGTCATCCTCATCTCTTTCCCTCCACCTCACTCTCTCTTCTCTCATTCCCTCACACTCACATCTCTCTCTCTCATTCCTTCCACACTCACTCTCTCTCATCTCATTCCCTGCCCATCTCACTCTCTCGTCTCTCAGTCTCCACCTCACCTCACACTCTCTCTCTCTCTTCCTCCACCTCACTCTCTCTCTCTCGATTCATTCCCGCCACCAGCTCCTACTCTCTTCTCTCTCTCTCTTCCATGCCACCTCACTCTCTCTCTCTCTTAATTCCTCCACCTCACCTCTCTCTCTCTCATTCACTCCACCTCACTCTCTCTCTCTCATTCCCTCCACTCTCACTCTCTCTCTCTCATTCCCTCCACCTCACTCTCTCTCTCTCTCATTCCCTCCACCTCACTCTCTCTCTCTCTCATTCCCTCCACCTCACTCTCTCTCTCTCTCTTCCCTCCACCTCACTCTCTCTCTCTCTCATTCCCTCCACCTCACTCTCTCTCTCTCTCATTCCCTCCACCTCACTCTCTCTCTCTCTCATTCCCTCCACCTCACTCTCTCTCTCTCATTCCCTCCACCTCACTCTCTCTCTCTCTCATTCCCTCCCCCTCACTCTCTCTCTCTCTCATTCCCTCCACCTCACTCTCTCTCTCTCTCATTCCCTCCACCTCACTCTCTCTCTCTCTCATTCCCTCCACCTCACTCTCTCTCTCTCTCATTCCCTCCACCTCACTCTCTCTCTCTCATTCCCTCCACCTCACTCTCTCTCTCTCTCATTCCCTCCACCTCACTCTCTCTCTCTCTCATTCCCTCCACCTCACTCTCTCTCTCTCTCATTCCCTCCACCTCACTCTCTCTCTCTCTCATTCCTCCACCTCACTCTCTCTCTCTCTCATTCCCTCCACCTCACATCTCTTCTCTCTCATTCCCGCCCCTCACTCTTTCTCCTCATCATTCCCTCCGCCTCACTCTCTCTCTCTCTCATTCCCTCCACCTCACTCTCTCTCTCTCTCTTCCCTCCACCTCACTCTCTCTCTCATCTCATTCCCTCCCCTCACTCTCTCTCTCACTCTCATTCCTTCCACCTCAATCTCTCTCTCTCATTCCCTCCACCTCACCGCTCTCTCTCATTCCCTCGCACCTCCACTCTCTCTCTCCTCATTCCTCCACAACTCACGTCGCTCTCTCTCTTCCCATCTACTCACTCTATCTCTCT